GTTGCTCTTACGCGCTGCTCTCCATTGCTTAGTGCCAGGATTTTTATACACACTTTGGATGGCAGTAATTCTAATTCATTTTGGGCAACGATCGTAACTGCCAACTCTCAACAACTTTCATTCTCGTTTGATCCGCGCTTAGTGTGTCATTGTTACCAATTATAAACAGGTGTGATAATAATAAACTTTTCAACCGTTGCGTTGCGAATCTTATTATTTTATCAACCTGATATTCATATTGCTGTGAACATATTCTTCTTTTTCTCAGGAATATTTTATTTAATTTTAAATTATGTTATTTCATGATAATGTTTTTGTCCTGTTGCATGCCAGGGGCATAGCGTGACCTTTTTAACTAGGGGGTAGTAACATCTAAGTCTTACCGACGACCCCGTGGCACTTGAAGCGAAAGAATCTGTTTTATGTAATGGCCTCGTTTTCATGTCAACTACTTACTCATGTTCTGTGCTTAGTAGGGTTGAAAATTACTTTGTTATTGAGCCTAAGAACAGCAAGAAACGAATTCGTCCAGAAAAACATGGGAATGTAATCTTTATCTGATATTGACATGCTTCTAAAATAAGTTACAGTGCGTCTACAGTAAGTGGGGCCACTTACAGAACACTAACCAATCACATTGAAGAACAGAAATTGAAAAAATCAACAAACGGCGCATTAGCCAATCAACATTAGAACAAATTGAACAAATGAACAAATGAACGAATGTCAAACGGTAAAAATAGACTTGTAAAAGTAAATACTGCAGTTAATGGCTTCCTGAATCTTTCTTTTGTTTGGACGAGCTTTAGTTTGATTAGATTTTTCTTTCTGTTCTGCAATGCAATTGGTTAGTGTTCTCTAAGTGGCCCCACTTACAGTAGATGCACTGTAACGTGGAAACGAGCTAGGGCCAATGATGTTGTGTAAAAGAGAATAAATGCGAGCATTGTCGTGGATCAGTACATGCTGCATGCATTATCCCATAGTTGCAAACTTTGGCGAAAAACATGCGTGAGATTTTGTTTTGGGGGACCCACGTGTATTGCAAAAATTCAAAACACAATTTGCCATGGCGAATATATAAAACGACGGATAAATATTTGAACTATGGAAAGAAAGGCTATAGGTTATGTGAAATCGTCAAATCGGTCTAAATGTTGTACAATTTAAGTGAACACCAGATTGAGGCACTATCAAATCTGCATTAAACATCCTACGAGGAGAAAGCCGAACGGCGTCTCTATTGGTTTTTCTTACGCCCAATATTAGCTGATATATAATTATTTAAAGGTGATCTACAGTCCGTATGTAAACAAAGCCTTTGTTTACATTTTTGTGTCCAAAATATTGAGCTTTATTCGACAACTATTTATATTTTCAAGCTTCTAGAGTATAATAAATTATCAAGAAACAACAGTCAGGCTTTTCAAGAACTCAAAACATAGTTAAACTGTTTGTATCATAAAAAGTGGTCTCATTTGTGCACATGCGCAGATCGGACTGTAGATCACCTTTAAAAAAGGCATTAATAATTCATGAGGAAAATACAAAAAAAATCAATGCCGGTTTGTAAATCGGATAAAGATTTGTCCAGATTTACATAAACTTCAGCTTTGATTTACTCGGCATAATAATAATAATGACTTTATTGGCATGACCCAATTACAGGTATTGCTAAAGTATAGGTGCTATAAGTGCTATTAACAACAAAACATAATTATAAAGGTGCAATCTATAGTGTTCGAAAGTTTGAACAACATTGTTATGACTACTGTGTAGTTCATATTAAAAGTTTCTTTTAATTGTATAAGAGTTCTCTAATACTATATTAGTATAATATATTATAGTATTTAAGGAGAATCCATGGTTTGAAGGCATTTGTCTCTGAGTTGAAAGCATTTCAGGATAAACTTAGAGAATAACTCTACTAACACTGACATGACGTGAGTCAATAAATTTTGTTTTGATTCGGTTGTAAGATTAATCTGGAAAATATTCTTTAATATATTGTTTGCATTGTTTCTGATGTTATTGTAGCTTGGACATTCGAAGGAAAAGTGAAACTCGTCTTCGACTGCACGTGTGTTGCAAGTTTTACAATGTCTTTCTTCACGTGGTATTTTTTGGTAGCGGCCATACTCAATTAGTAATTTGTGATTACTTATTCGGAATTTTGTGAGCATCCGTCTTTGGGATGGATCTTTTATGAAAGTTAGATAATCTTCTTGATTATATTGCTTTTTAAATTTAGAATAGAATGATAGCTTTCTGGAATTGTCTATCTGTTGTTTCCAAAACGAAATATAGTTGTTTTTCATATTGTCTATTATATCATTTATTTTCTTGTCTTTGAGGAATGTTTCTAGATCTAAAGGTTCACTAAGTGTAGGGAAATGGCTTTTCAATATATGCACAATATTTGAGTAAAAAGAATCTTTCTGGTTTATGTAGAGTTCTTTTGAAATGTAGAATGCTTGTTTTACAATAGATGAATCTGGTAATTGGTATATGTTGTTGATATAGTTAAGTGTCCTCTTAAATATGGGGATTATTAGTGGTAATCTTCCTAATTCTCCTCTACTGGCAATGTTGCTGGCTTTTCTGTTCACACCCAGGTATAGTTTACAAAATTTTAAATGGGTTTTTTCAATTTCTGTTTTATCCCATTTTGTAAAATCGTTGTTAGCGTATGTCCCCCATACCTCTGAGTTATATAGTAATATGGGTGAGATCACACTATCAAAGATCTTACATGCAAGTTTTGGTCGTAAGCAGTGAAAATCAACGTTTTTTCGTATTTTGTATAAAGCATGCCTTGCCTTATCACTAAGCTGCTGGTTGGCAACTGTGAACGTTGTATTAGGTGTTAATTTGAGACCAAGATAAGTATATTCATAGAGTATATGTAAGTATATGCATAGAGGTAGCGATTGTTTTATTTCTCAGCCAACGGGATCAGGAAAATCCGCTGCATATCAGTTTATATTTCCTTTCGCTTTTATATGAAGCGTTTCAGTTACTTAGATCGAATGATGTGTACGTAGAACCAAAAAACCAGGAAATTGTATGCACAATTAGCCATAACGCGTTTGTCGTTGGTCTTGCAGATTTTATTGATATATACGTGGTTTTGAAAGAACGAGGCAACACTATATATGCACAAGTAGGTTAAAAATTAACCCCCCCCCCCCCATTAAACCATCTTCACCAGTAGATACCATCTTCACCACCTGACAACAGCTGTTCAGCAGAACCATCTTATACCATCCGACACTACACTACAAGCATCTGACAAGCAAAGCACCTGACACCATCTTACACCATCTTCGCCACCTGACAACAGCTGTTCAGCTGAACCATCCTACACCATCCGACACCACTCTCAAGCATCTGACAAACAAAGCATCTGACACCATCTTCACCACCTGACAACCCATGGCTATATCGGACACATGTGACATGATGCTTGTGATGTTACTCTGAGTGTATATCCACACCGGGCTAGCTCGAAAAATATCGTGGACAGGTATATATTTTCGAGCTTGCCCTGTGTGGATATACACTCAGAGTGACATCACAATCATTTTATCTATCCTCTTAACATTGACGTTACTCCGGTGTCAAACTGATATTCGATTGCGGTAACGATTTGTTCAGCTTCGCCCAAAAAGTTAGCTTGGCAAGTAGCTGTTTTCCCGGGGTTTTAATTAACTTCCGAAACTTTCTCTATCTTGAAAATTTGGTCTTCGTTTTCAATGGATTCCCCTACGGATACATCTGATTCGTGTTTTGATGTTTCGCATTCTCGAGTTTTTTAGACATTTTTCCCTTGAGACAACAAACCACTGGGAAATTTTTCGGGTTTTGAAAGTAATCGGCAATTTTGGCCATGCGCGATACAGTCTTCTCGCTTGTGTCGACCTTCGTTATCACATTGATTGCATTTTTCTTGGGTTTTATCACATTGATTGCATTTTTCTTGCATTTTTCTTGGGTCTCGGCGCTATTGTCTTCGTTTCGTTTCGCTTCGCTTACTTTCATTGTATTATCTTCTGATCTGCCGTCTCGCTTGAAAATCTAATTTGTTCGGAGTTGTCTTGATCAACTTCCCGATCGCGATGCGGTCTCTGCTCAATTTGTCTGAGTAAGCGTGCAAAACTTCCATGACGAAGCGGCTTTTCGTAGCGTATTTCCGAATGTATCGATTCTTTCGTTTGGCTTTGTACGCATGACTTAAACAGCTAAACAAGATATTTCTTTTAAACGACGCATGTCTCCAGTTTAAAATACAGTTTTCTAACGCTGTTATGCTTGCTGTGTTGATTGCTATTTTAGCTGTGAAACATTTACTACAGGTAAACTTCATAAAGAAAATACGACGGCCTCCGTTTTTCGGAACTTTACATTCCCTGACATCATGTGGATAGAAAACAAAAGGTTTAATGAAGTCGTCAATTACCCGGTTATACATGAAAAGAAATGCTCTGCATGAATTCATTTGATGTGCGGTAAGAGATGGGACTTGTCTGCAAGTCAGCTGTTCACAGTTTTGGGAAGATTCCCATTTTATGATTCCTAATTTGAACAGTCTCGTGTAAACATTGCTGTAAGCGCACGGCTTTCCTAGTATAAAGTGTTGTAGCTAAATATTGCCAAATGAAGTAATTAAACGCCCTAAGCATAAGCGTGTTTCACTCCTACTCCTGAGTGATATTTAACATTTAGCTTCATTTTTCTAAACAACATGCTTAAATTAATCTTATTGTGACGTTACTAGCGCAATCCTAAGTCCTTTTGCAGATTTTGAATACATTTACACTCAGCGTGCTTAGCATTTAAACATTCTGTTGAGAGAACTGCGCTCTCTTATTTCATATCTAATAAAGCACTCCTGGTCGAGTTTTAAATGATACATCTAAAATGAAAAAAAATGTCTAGATAACAATGTAATTCAACAGTTATGATTAGCCAAAACGGGCGACGTTGCTCTGTCCGGGCCGGTTTTCAAGGAGAGTATGTATCATGGAGTTGGCTTAAAAAGCGACCTATATCTGATGAGCTCATTGGCGAAGCAGTTTTAAATGTTGTCTAAGTCTTGAAAATGAAACCAAAGTTTTTGCAAATGAACATGATTTTTTATCACATATAAAACCACGGACACGGCAGCGATGTCTTTCGTATTTTCATCATGAATTATTAAAAATTTCTTTAAATATTAAATAAAGCAGCCACTATTTTATTAGAGCATGAATATTATGGGAAATAATTTAACAGCCAGAGCAAATCGTTGCCTATGGAGCGTTTTTATTTCCCAATTTGATTTGAGACATGAGATTCTCTGAGCATATTTGTCCTGTTCGTTTAGGATCAGGGACACTCAGCTAGAAAGCGCGGATGATGTTATGAAAGAAGGCCAAACCATTACTGAAAAGTACCGTAAGCATCCATTAGACCGCACAGAGGATGCAAGATTTTCCCAGCATAGTCTTACACCTAAGCAAAGAGAATCCACTTGGAACCAGCTCCGCGACAACTTATTATCTCATCAACATGCGCTTCTTGGTTTTCAGAGTAATCAAAGTTTCGCCTGCGAAAGAGCGAAACCATTTTTTGATATCGCACTGAACAATATTGGAGATCCATTCTTAGTACAAGGGCAATATGCGCTTAATACTAAGATCATTGAATGTAGCGTGCTGGATTATTTTGCTAAGCTCTGGGGGATACAGCAATCCAATCCTTCAAATGAGGAAGAACGGAAATACTGGGGTTACGTTACGTCCATGGGCTGCACCGAAGCTAATCATCTCGCATTGTATAATGCAAGGGAATACTTAGCCGGAATGCCTCTCAGTAATCCCATCTTGTGCAATACGTGTAGTCCTGTTGTGAGGCCACCTATTTGGTCCCACAGACAACGCAAAGAAGAATTATCAAATGCGCAGCCAAGGGACAATCCTAACGCTTTTACACCAGTTGTATTCTTTTCAGAAGAAAACTTTCACGGCCTTGCAAAAACCTTGAGAATGTTACAGATGAAAACGTTTTGTGATGTTGGCAGTGGACATTTTTCTTGCCCGTTGAAATATCCAGATGATTATCCTTCCAGTTTTAATGAAGAATCCCTTGATCAAGACGGCTGGCCACGTGCAGTACCTGTGGAAGCGGATGGGTCGATTAGCATCCCATGCCTTGTGAAACTTGTTTGTTTGTTTGTAGCATTTATTTCAACACGATTAAATTCGCAGCATAGCTGATGTGGTCGTGCATTTACATAGTTATGTGCCTAACCCACCCTGTCAACTTTCCCTGTGGGAGGAAACACGGAGTGCCCGGAGAAAACCCACGACTTTCGGCAGAACGTTGACTTACTCTTTTCACATTAGGACTGGGTTCCAGTCACAACGAGAAGTCCTCATCGAGATTCGAACCTGCTGCCTTAGAGGTGAAAGGCAAGTGCGCTAACCACTTCGCCACCGAAGCCCCTAAAACTGGTCACTGCCTTTGTTCTGAAAGGCTACCCTCCGCTGGTAGTTTTCACAAGTGGTACCACATTTAAAGGAGCCTATGATAATCCACGAGCTGCCATCAATGAGCTTGCGCCTATATTGAAACAACACAACATGTACCATCTGGATTCAGACCACAACAACGAATTGCCTGGGACAGCTGCGTAGCAAAATCCTCACTGGCAACACGCCCCCCGGCTTGCGTGATAAACAAAGGACCTTTACCTCGTAGCGCTATGTATTCGAGCAGTAATGCAATAGGACAACAGGTAGCTTGGCGGTTGAACAATAATGTAAAAGGACGTTGATTATAATTGTGTTTGAAATTTAAGAAGGTCAAGTTGATGCCAATTACATTATGCTGTGAGTCGCGCACATGTGCTATATGGTGTAATTGTAGAGGTTGAGCCGTTGAGGACATGCTTTCTTAGTTGCAGTAAGTTCCCCAATCCTTAAAAAGGCACAAAATGCCAACGAGCACTTTGCTTTAAATTGACAAACCTGGTATGTAGAACCAGCAATGGAAGGAGCGACATTAAATTAAGCAAACTTTCTAATATTGGCAACGTGATAGGTAAACGACTATCCAACCTTGCGCCATTTTTGGCATAACCCTTCAACATTTGTATAATGTAGAGTACTCGAGTTGGGTCTGGGAAACCAGACAATTTATGAGAGTAACCAATCGCAGAGACGTATGTATTCACCGTAGATGATGCATAATTGCGGTCAAATAAATATGCAATAAAAAGTGCCAGTGTTGCCGGGAAAATGGGTAAGCTAAAGCACGCCATCCCAAAAACTGTGCTGTGGAATAGAGTAAATAATCTCCATGCCCTAGTGTAAGTAGGGATGGACGATTGCTGTAAACTAGATTTAGTTAAACGCGTTATTATATCCGCCAGCTTTGAGGCTGCAGGTCGAGGGGGGTGTCTGTTGGAAGATTGTTCATGTTGGTCGGTGCCAAGTGTTTGAAGCATAGATATCTTATATACACTAGATAGCGCATCTCTTTTAGTAAAATTGAAGCCAAGAATATTCCAGCGGTTACCCCCATTTGAATAGATGGCGGCCATGTTGGTCGTCCCCACTTGCTAATAAACGCTTAAAAACAGCAATAACTTTCATTATTTGAATAGTTTAAAAACGTATTTGGAATAGGGTTAACTTAATGTTTAAGTTCCCTGTTCAATAATAACAAGACGCCGACTCGGCGTTAACCTCGGGTCGGTGGATAGGGGATCGTCTGGTAAATATCCAAAAATTGTGTAAATCACGATAGTTTAATAGTTCACTAGTATAAATGGTGAATCAGTTAATCAAAGCTCCGTTTTAATATTTTATTGATAATAATTACTGGCCCTCATCAAACCTATTGTTTTCTCTCTGCATTATATCAGCGAATGTCGAGAAGTTTTCATTTAATTAACGTTCTACCATAGAATAAGAAATGAATAGAAGGGCAACCCGCGTTGGAACCTTTGAAGTTTTTGAAGCCGCGCATGTCGCCTCGCGCATACCGGAAATTGCCCGCTCTAATTACTCGCAGCCAGTAAAGCCAGTCAATTTATTAGAGATTTGTATTGCAGAATGGCCATTTGGCTGAATAAATCGACTATTTTTCGCAAACGAACGATTCAAATTACAAACCACGGCTGCTGGTTGTAATTTGAAGGTTAGTGAATACATTTCTGTTGGTTATGAGCTGTTAAAGAATTGCTAAATGCGAAATTTAAACGTATTAATACATGTTGTTTACTTATAAAGTATAAAGTACAGTATATTAACATATGATAGTTTGGTTTATTTATTGGAAAAATTCGATGTATTCGAAGTAATATTGTAGTAATAGGAATGAATGTTAATTCATAATCATGATATTTTAATTACATAAATAAATAACATCATTTTCTGATTTTGTTTGTATTTGTACTTCAACATGTCAGACACAGACAGACGACTTCCCGCACGAAATAAATTCATAGTTTGATTAATTGCTCGTGACTTTGAAATTTATACTTTTTTATATAAAATTTGATGCAATCCAAAACCTGTACTGATAAGATTTGACATAAACCTCGAAAATCGAAATAAATAACACAGTATAAGCGATCGACTGTCGGCATTTCATTCAGATTCGGACTGTAGCTCACACAACAATATCAAATTTCTCTCTAAATATTCGTTTCTTTCTATGCTAACCGCAATAATAATTTAGGCTTATATTGCCTCTGCAGGCAGTTGTAGTAGTTTGATATTCCAATCCTTTGTTTCCGAAAAATAGTCGATTTTGTGATCAAAATGTACATTTCGTAATACAAATCTCTATTGCACTGACTAGCTTTACTGGCTGCGAGATGCTGCGAGCTTGAGAATCCCGCGCATGCGCACTGAAAATTGGTTACGCTTTGTACACGCGAGCTGCCCTTCTATTCATTTCTTATTCTATGGTTCTACTGAAAAACGGGAGCGGCCTTTTTGGTTGTATAGGGAAATTCCGGCTCAGGGGTAAATGTTTATACGCGTCATATTCTATGAACGCGTTAAAATAGCACACAAAATTATTAAAAATAATGCAGCGTGCGTCAGTGCACACAGACATTATTAGCAATAATGCATCTTCGTCACCCTGACATGTACACGCGATAACGTGAACATCCCAAAGATGAGAAGGTGACAGTTCTAAAGCCCCCCATACGGTGTCGTCGGGTGCCTGAAGCACTGTTGGAAACGGTCGCTGTGAGTCTTTTCAGTTCAATTTTATAGAGAAATAGTTTCGTTTGCGCTTGTGGGATTTTATCCTAGATATACGCATGTGCAGAATACACCATAAGTTCTATTCCCGTGTTTATCCAATACGCTATTTGAGTAAACCTTATCATTAATGATAATATGTAAACTAGAACACTATAATTGACCTCCGCTTGTGGAGATTTTAATTTATATAGGGCGATTAATTAAACTGAAATCTGTTCTATCACAATGCACTACAGTGCCTATGGTTATGTCTATATGGAGGGTCCTGAAGGGGTAAAATGGGAACTGGGATTGATCTATTTTTAGACTGGGAAAATGGGATTTGGGTTGCTGGGACTGGGATTTGGCCACTGGGAATGGGAAATGAAGTCCTCAAAAATGGGAATGGGATTGAGGTAATGCGAGTCGATTTCCAATTTTTCCACATTTTAAGAATTTTAAAAGACAATTTTGATCTGTTTTTGGTGCCTTTGGTCATGATTTTTGTTGTCAACTATACTATTGACAGCACTACCTGTGAGCAGGCATACTCTGGCGCCCAGAATTCTGGGTTTTCTGATTATGTGTGTCCCAAATCAGATGCACAGCGGAATATATGCCTGGTTTCCGGTATATACTTCATTTAACCCTTAGTATATACGTCAAAGGCAAAGCACAAACGCTTCTGCCACACGGTGTGCACACAGTGGCTTAAAAGGTCTTAGGGCCTGTTTACATGGAGGTAGGGTGACCCTATCACGAGGGTTACCCTAGTAAGTGGGTCATAAAATAGCGAGCGTTTACATGAGGTAGGGTAACCCTACTGCTAGGGCTATGTTGCCCGATTGGGCAACCCTACCTATGCGTGGTCGCTAAGCTGTCTGTTGGCAAGTTGCTGCATTTCTATGTTGTGGTCTGTTATTTCAATGTTGTGGTCTGTTATTTCAATGTTGTGGTCTATTACTCGCATTGCATAATGTATTCCTTGATATAGTCCTGATGGAAACACTTGCATGGAAACACCCACCCTAAAATCGGGTTGGGGAAATTTTGGCGGGAAGCACATGTGTTGTTGTTGTGAGGAGTCGAAGCGTTATGTATTAAACTTTACAGTATTATTATTTTTGTGGGAAATTATTTACGGAGGCTGTTGAGAGTAATTTTCTACAAGTGGCACCTCGACGACGGGATTTTAAGCGAGTTTTAAGCGAGATTTAAGCGAGATTTTAAGCGAGATTTTAAGCGAGATTATAAAGTGGAAACATGGAAGCGAAGAAATTGGATACGAAGTTGAAACAATTAAAGCTTACTGTAGATCGAACAGGTACGATTGTCGAATCGAATCAACAAGATGCAATCGTGCTACTATCAAATCTATAACAAATAGCATAAACGAAATGCGAGTAGCTGTCGAAGAGATTAAAATACAAGCCGAGACAGACATTACGGAAATTACAACTTGGAACACGGAAATCGACAATAAACTAGCGGAGTCGGATAAAGTCGTCGAAGAACTGAGAACATGGCTTGATCAGCGTCGAAAGGAGAAGGATAACGTAGCGAGAGACGAACAAATTCAATTTGAAACAATGCTTTTCAAAACAAGAATGGAATTCGAGACGAAGTTAGCAAGTGCGAAAGTGGAAACACTGACAATAAATAAAGAGGGGAATTTGCAAGGTGAGTCGCAACAAAGTACATTAGCTAAACTACCGAAGTTAGTTATTTCAAAATTTGGTGGAGATTTTCAAGATTGGCAAAGGTTCTGGGGACAGTTTACAGAAACAGTC